ATGTCTGTGCATACGCCCTATGGGGCCGAAACAACTGCGTCACCAGATGATTGAATGTTTGCAGGTGCGTTAGATAGCCCTTAGGGCATCACTAACCACTCCCAGAGTATACCGCTCGGAGTACTGCCACTGTCAGCGGGATATCACTAGCTCGCCTACGCAGTTGGTAATTTCCATCGACTAAGCCGAGGGCACGGTACATCTTACATCCCACCATATTGTTCTGAAGAACATCCTTGCGAGGAATCGGTGTTTGATCTGGGATAGTGGCTGCATTCGGCTTATTATAAGCATGCACTATTCGCCACTTCCCATTAGGCTTCCTCGCACAAAACGTGGGCGTAGAGTGAGGAGACTTACTCTCACGCACCATGCCAGCCGCGTGCTTTGCACGAAAAAAAACTCGTCAATGACGTCACATTGTTCTCGTGGCAGCGGCCCTTGTCGCGTCACACAGTATTTGGTTCTTGGAACCAATTCAATCTCATGACGTACACCTCTATCCGAGGGTAACCTCGTAGGAGGTTATCTGAAGACAACATCTCGATATTCTTTCAACAAAGGAAAATAAGAATCCGAAGGGTACTTAAGGATCTGTGGTCCGCTGCGCGCATTCAGCGCCTTCTTTGTATCTCAAGAACTGCTTTATCCAAAAGCTATGAGGAGTTCAACTATTCCCCAGGTCTTATAACGACCACTTCGGCGATGTCGCCTGCCTATAAGGCACTGCCAAAACTCGGCAAAGGACAACTCGTCCAGCTCTAACAGAGCACTTACTGCAGGTATAGCTGAAAGAGCCACCGGATCTTCAACATCCCCAGTCAAACCATTGACGAATGTATATAGCTGTCGCTATTACCGTCACTCACGATATCATCATCGCTACTCATGATGTTCTCAGCATCCGAAGCATCAGCGCCTACATTAGTACACACCTCAAGGTAAAAGCCCACTCCTTTTACTAACTGCACTCTGCCCTCTTGGGTCAATGCCTCGTCACTAGGTGCCTGAACCTCGTTGTCATGAAGACAGTCGTTATTCTGACTTCACCTGACCCTCATGGGCCAGTACCTCGTCACTAGGTGCTTGACTTCGGTGTCCTCAAAGACAGCATCCATTGGTGACTTCACCCGACCCTCTCGGACCAGTACCTCGTCGTTAGGTGCATGCACCTCGTTTTTGTACTCAAAGACAAGATCCATTTGTGACTTCACCCGGCCCTCCAGGGTCAATTCCTCGTCACTCATGTCACTTGGACTCATGTCATGACACCTTGGCTTGCAGCCACCAACACCACTCACGGTGTTTAATGATGTAATATCATTCTCATGACACATGTCATAATGTGCCATCTAGTCGTTTCTGACCCACACTATCGACAGTCATTAAACCTCGCCCAGGACTATTGTCCTCGACATTTACAGTGTCGACAAAGTCGGATATTCCGACATCCAACATATTGACCGACTCGGTCCAATATTCGCGCCAAAAGCGCTTTTGCTTCCTAGCAGAGGTGGGTTCATGACTTTCCAGAGCCCCACCAGGAGCATTGCGCGTTGCGCCTAAGGTCTTCGACCTCCATCAATCCATGGCTCGTGACGTTCTAGCCATGCCGTGCCTAGGATGAGGTCATACCTCTCATCCAGGTCTAAGACCAAACAGCGTTCCATGCTGTTAAAGTCCAAGAACTTTACATTAAGTCCATCAAGACTTTGGGTACCGTAACCCGCGTACCCGTCGCTAAGCAAACTGTGACTGTGCTGCTTTCACGCACTACAAGCGCTTCATCATACTGCTGACTACCTTCCACGGTGGCACGGCGCACATAATTGCCCGATACCCCCGAATCGATTAAAATGATCCATGGCTTATCATAGCCCTTGACCTTCCCTTTGACGACTAGCAAGCCTGGCTTGCATTTTTGCTCTGTTTATGAGAGTTCGGATCTTTTTGGGGCTGGGCCATGTTTACTTCTACCTCCTTAAGGCTCAACAAAACTCAGTTCTGCCCCAGTGGGGCGCCCCGTGCCTACTGGAATCCGCCGTTTCCCGTGGCAACCAGAGGCTTATCTCATGAGGCCTTTCGAGGCAAAATGCCTTTCTTGCAAGGCATTTTGCCATCAAATGGCCTGTGCTCTTGCAGATATAACATCTGCGCACAATTTGCTGCTCGTAGCATGAAGCTCTGATGACATCGTGATATTCGCGGATTGTTCTAACGCCGTCAGCTGCTGTAAACGACACTCTAAACTCGCCGCTTGTGATCAAATTATTGTCTTAAGTCTATTAGAGAATGTAGCGCTAGTGAGACTGTCAGCAGGTTGAGGCAAAACGATCTTGTAGGGTACGACGTTAACGTTCGAAATCCGGAGGTAGCAAAAATGAAATGAGAATTTGGCTCAGCGCTGCATACATGCTTCGTCAATTGGCAGCGGCAGATGTGGCCATGGTAACAACGAATATGTGTACGTACTTTCCATTATTTTTTGCCGCAGGAAGAAAAGGTATACGGGTCTTCCTCGTTATCGAGTTGCACTACTTTGCTACCGTAATCCTTACCTGAGAATGGACAGATTTCATTGCTTCCAAGTCATCCACGTGAGAATCTCGTGCATGACGTGCACAACAGGATATAACATAATAGACATTTCCTTTACCGTATTGAGAGTTTGGAATGCATAGCACTGCCTTCATTCCTATGAGACTAACGCTCGATTGCATTCATCATGAATCAAGTCTTTTCTACTGCTACACCTAGCATCTTCTTCCTTCACTTGACTACAGTCTATGAGTACAGACCCATCAGACGAGTAGTTATAAGTGGCAGGCCCAGCGGCCTTAAAGTTGGTCTTGGCATTCCATGCCACTCCAACAGCTTCCTTGAATGAGGACGGGTTTTCCCGAAAGACTTCCGTTCTGGCAATGCCAACTCGGAGGCCCTCCATGAAGACCGTGACGGTAACTGCCTCAGGCATAGGATCTATGACCATGGCAGCAATGAGAGTTCTCAACTCTCTTACATATTCCGCGAGCTCACGCTTGCCTTGGCGACACGCCAAAAAACCGTGACCGTTTACGGTGTGCTTGGTTTGGCGGTGCATACTGCCGAGTCATCTGAGCTTTCATATCAGCCTATGTTGGAAAAGCATCTTGCAGTGATGAACCACATGTGAATGCCCACTGTTTGGCTAAACCACCTAACTTGCCCGTGGCAAAGCCCACACAATACGGTTCATAGGTGATGTCGGCTATAAACTTAGCCGACTCACCCTGTCGGAACTAAAGCTTAAGGTTATTACCTTCTTTTGCGTCGAACTTGTCGACTTCCATTTGTATGGTTTTTGGTCTGCGGACCATTTCTTGCGCCATAGTCGCCATGGGCGAAGACGCAGAAGAAGACATCTGTGCCTTTACATGCTCGACTAGAGATTTGTTATATTCATTAAGCATTTGAATACGCTTGTTAACCTCTCCTTCACCCTGGGCGAAGAGGCACTCCACGCCTTTAGGGCCAAGGATAGGGAGCAGCTTCTGCAACCCTTCCTGTTGTGCCTGTGACAGGCCAACCGCTGACATCTCATCGATGTCCATGCTCACACAAAGAAGTAGTCGTAAACCCAGGTGCGGGATTGACTACAAGTGCTACCAGTTGTAGTCGGGCTACTGTAGCTATGCTACTTATGCACTATGTGCAGAAGAAGTAGTCAAACTACTGTAGCAAAGCTACGTATGCACTAGTGCAGAGGAAGACATGCTCAAAGAGCTTCTACGTCTTAGGGTGCTTAACCCTTCCTAGGCTAGCTCAAAGCTTGTGCCTATCAATTGTTACAACCGGGTCTCAAAGAGACTAGTATCAATGATACGATTCTTCAGGAGGAATGGAAAGCTCAAGCAGTGATGCTTATAGAGCAGGTTTGAAGCTGGTTTATATTTATGTTTATCTTCTAACACTAAATATAGACTATACTTAGTGCTAGTCACTATTACTGGCTCTATAGCCTATTATGATTATCTAAACATGTATAGTCACTATACTTGAATAAGTATAGTGACCATGTGGCTCTCTGCCACGATGTGACCCTTCGTACTTCAGGTACGGTCACATCACCTACTTTGTACCCAAGGTACAGCCACACCACATTGGTGTGGCAGGTGTGTATGTAAAATACTCACCGTGTAACCCCGTTACACTGCTGGCATTGTTTGTAATTAAGATATAAGAAGTCTGAATAACAGAATTTTTTTTTGGTATGTACCAGATATGTAGTCATTGACCCCAACTTATAGCTAAGTTTCCGGTTAAGAAATCGTGACAGAAAGCGCTGACTGGATTTGCACGACTACCTGACAAGGAAGCCGACCAAAACATTACCAACGATAGATATGGATGAGACAGATGCATAAGGTGCAATGTCCTTCTGGAGACGACTCTACTGTTTTCTTTAATGTGAATTTGAGTGATTTACAGCGATACATTGCTAACAGTCGAGGATGTGGATGGGAATGAACTATATTACAAGTAGAAGGTCAAAGATAGCCAGAACCGACGACTTGAAACTCACTTAATTGATCTCACTTTGTTGCTTTTACAACATCGGCACCAAGCCTCCTTGCTTCACTCGTTTTACACGCTATTTATTGGCTTCCTTTTCTTCAACGGAAGACTTCAATTGACCATCTGAGCTGACTTGGATACGCCCGGCGGCTTTGCTTGTGGACAAACTTTGTTTTGACATGCGGTAATAGCCACGCGCGTGGTTGTACAAAGAAGTCGCACTTTTTGCGTTGACAAATGCGCTTGAGGGTTAGAATGGAGTTAGTAAAATTAAAATTGAGTTTGAATAGCTGTTTGGATCTGCAAACACCCTTAAACCCTTATGCGCAACGATCTGATATCATTATGAGCCAGTTGCAAATTTCCATCTATTTTAGCATTTTATACAATCAAAGGGTATGCTCTTAAACCCGTTTTTGATTTTAGTGCCAACCAATAAATAAACAATGCTAAAGGTGAGCGCATCTGAGAAGAAGTATATTGCCGAAGGTGTCGCTGCTGATGTGCGCGCGGATGGACGAGATCGCTTATCGTATCGCAGTCTGTCACTGGAAACGTCACTTCTTGCGCAGTCCAACGGCTCGGCTCGCGTTTCCTTGGAGTCGTCGGGTACCGATGTATTGGCCTCCGTCAAGCTGGAGGTGGTTGCTCCATTGTCCGAATTTCCGAATGCTGGCATGGTCCAAATCGCTGTATCTTGCTGTCCCTCGGTATCAGCCAAACTATACGGCCGCGCTGTTGATGAATTAAACATAGAGCTATCACAGCTCATGACACGTCTGCTCTGCTCGTGCCCTAGCGCGGAGCTGGAGAAGTATTGCATCATTCCAGGGGAAAGCGTGTGGTCTATCAACATTGACGTGATGGTGTTCGAGTCCAGCGGCAACCTGCCGGATATCATATCGATGGCTGTCTATGCGGCACTCAATGACACGGTCTTTCCGTCTGTGCGTCTTGTGGGCGTGGAGGGTGAAGACAAGACCATCGAGGTGGACACGGACCCTGCGGCTGGTCAGATCATGATGGCCGAGCATTGGCCTATATGCGTAACACTCAGTAAGGTTGGCGACTACTTTATCACGGACTCGCTCCAAGAGGAGGAGCTGTGCACGACGGCGCAGATGAGTGTTGCTGTGAATCCTGAGGGGAGTGTCTGCGGCGTCCAGAAGAGCGGAACGGGCGCTATTGAGATGGAAGAGATGCAGCAAATGATTGACGAGGCATGTGCGAGATCGAAAGAGCTATTTAAACTACTGCAGCAGGCTTTGCGCGAGCAGAGAGATAGAGATGTCAAAGCAGGACGCAGGGTAGAGCGCGTTGGTTTCCTGGGATGATGAAGCAATAACAGATAGCCATTGCCCGCTACTATTGAACGCGTTCATGGTACTGTTGCTATTTTTATGCATTATTTCTGCTGCTCATTGAGCTCAATTATAGTACGTTAACGCCGCTGCCATCACTTTTACATCATCTCAGACAAGAAATTTACAACGCGAAGCAAGCGACCCTGATACCTCTCCAGCACTTCGATATTCAGCGATCGATTCATGAAGCCCATCTGCTCCAGCTCGTTTAGTTGAGCCTGCCACTTAATCTCATGGTCTGCAGACTGCGCGACAGGGATATCAGGTTCCATGGCGTGAATAGCAGACGCTGCAGTTGCGTGCATACTTTCATCAAGCCGCGTTTCCAGAGTTCGTCGAGCTTCATCCCAAACATCAGGTAGCTGGGTTCGTGGCCAAGCAACTGGTGCCTGACCTGCACGTAGTGTTCCTTGCGTAGTAGCAGTCTCACAAATAACTTCACTTTCAGTCAGTCTTTCAACAAACAACACTTCTTGGCGGCCGTTTAGGCCGACTTCTTGCAGTGTCTTATCAGCTGCTTCAACTCCAAAAAGTCGACGTGGGTATGTAGCCGCCAGTTGATATAGCCGCGCATTCTCGCCCGTAAGTGCCTCGACAAAATCAAATACGCTTTGCAGTGGAGACGAGGGCAAGAACCGGCGCGTAGCCTGCCTCTCAGGCATTTTAAGCACAATCCTCACCAGTTGACCTTCTTCTGCAAAAGGTTCGGGCAACAATGTCGCCATCTTGTTTGCTTTCCACTGTTCCTTTTCTTGCGCCAGTGCCATAACGCGCGCAGCCTCTTTTTCCATTCGCTTCTCATCTTCCTTCGCCTTCATCACAGCTTCACATGGTATTACATCCACCTCAAGATCTGTGTTGATCAGGTTAACAGCTCGCTCGGGTTTCAGTTCCGATACGAGCACTTCAAACGTCAATTTGCCATGTCTGATGAACAGTACGTCATCCTCCGTCAGCGTCGTGTGCGTCTTGAGTGAGCGCTCAAGCATCTGTTTAAAGTCAATCTGACGGTCGCCAAAACCACTTCCTCTCAGCTGCAGACTTGCAAACTTTCCCTTCTCCAAACGCACAAAGCGCACCTGAACACTATCTGGTAGCTCATTTATCCGCGCGAATAACGACGCGGCAACCTTCGGTGGCAGCCCCACCGTTCCTTCGTCCGCCACAAACTCTAGTACTCCTGCGTGTGTCTGTCTTTCGGTTGTCGCTTCTCCACATCGTTCTGCAAACTGATCTTCAAACGACAGCTCAAACGTGAACACACCGAGGTCTAGCGCATTCTGTGGATTAAGCTCCTTCAGCGCCGACACCGGCAACGTAATCTTGTCACCATCCGAAGTCGTTGGAACGGGTTTTAGTTGCTGCAAGTACTTGATTCCACCGGTAACCCGCAGCTCTTCACGCGCCTCCTGCTCCTGTCGCTCCAATTCTGCAACGCGTTCCACGCGCTTCTGCTTCTGAAGCATCTCCAGCTCCTCACGAGCCTTGAAAGCCACCTCACGTTCCCGACGCTCTATCTCAATCTTACGTTTGGCCTGCTCGCGCCGCTTGAATTTGCTCGCGGTTCCACTTGGCGTTGCGCGACTTCAGATCTAGCTCCATGAATTTCTGTCTAGGTGTGTTCCAACAGCAGGAGTGTAGAACTATTTATTATGTTACTTCAGTCAAACGCTCTACTCAGAGGTAAAATGTAATATGCCACAATATAACGCCCAGTAATACGACAGAATTTATAGTCAACACAAGAACTGAGACGTCAAAGCCGTCTTTACTATACAACTGGGAAGAGCTACGCAACTCGACTGACCCGGTAGTACATTTCAATACAAAATCATCGGATATACCATCATCCACCACGTCGATGTGTCCTATTGATCTGCGTATTCGTGACATGTTTTATTGCACAGAGTCGTACAAAAGATGTGACGACGAATTCAATTCCTGTGCATACAACGGAGACTTTAAGCCCTGTGCGTCACCACGATGAGGGGAAAACAAAGCAGCTTGCTCCTGCAACAGTTCCGCTTTTGACACCTTGTTGCATTCGTCGTGTTTTAGATATGCAAATGTAGCAATGCTAATCAATGACAGAGGTAGACCGAGCCCTGTCACAATCCACATCACCCGAGCGCCGTAGTGTTGGTAAAAGTATCCGCCGACAAGCGTGCCCGACGCTAGCGCCAGACCGTTTTGAACAGCACTCAACACACCCATGACAGTTCCCTCACATCCACAAGGCGCTGCAGAAAATACGTACTGTGTACAAGCTGCCCACGTCAGTCCAAATGTGATGCCGTGCAGGAACTCAAACGGAATTGCCCCCCAAGGATTTGTCATGAGCGCATAGTAAGTAATACGTAGCGTGTAACCCACAAGAGACACTAGCAGTACGTTTACTGTACCAATTTTCGTTACAATTTGGTCAGCAAAGAAAAATGCAGGCAGCTCAGACGCTGTCTCACACATAATAGCCACACCAATGATATGCGGATCATCCCCAGCAAGATTGTAAAGATTAAGCTGGAGAAAGCTACTGAATACACCATGCATATTTCCCATGATGAAAACCACAGCTAGCAGTGCCAGCACATCCAATTGTTGACCAATTAAACCCATTGTTTCCATAAATGACGGTGTGCCTCGTCTTACCTCATTTGCAGTCTCCAGCTGAGTGTACTTCTCATCATACTTGATGGGGGGGGATCAATCGCAGCACTAGCAACGTTGAAAAACCTGCGATGAGACACAGATTGAAGGACCAAAAGATACCTCCGTATGCCACCACAATCCCTGTCAGATATGTCCCAATGCCCCACCCTACAGCGCCAAATAGTCTCTGTTTTCCGTACTCTCCTCCTTCCTTTACCAGTACATTGAGCACGGTGTGATCCAGGAGTGAGCCTGTAGGGAAGCTTTGGATCCGACTGAGAAGAACGATCAACACCGTCCAGCCCAGTGACCAGTAGAAATATCTGGTAAAAAACTGCAGCAACGTGCCGCTGACGATGCAAAACACGTGCACAAGTCGCTGGTCACGGATATGGTCAGCCACACCGCCCCAGAAGGGTGGACCCAAAATAGCGGCAATGCTTGGAAGTGTTTGCAATAATCCAATCTGCATTTTGGAAAACCCGGCCGTGTGCTGGTAATAGACTGGCAAGTAGTTTGCGGTCGTAGAGCCCCA